CTTATAATCAAAGACGACTCTTCTACTTGGTCAAGAACCGATTCGTTTAGCTAACTTACCCAACCGAGTCATTGAGAAATAACATGAAGTAGAACTACTCGACCTACCCATTTATATAGCTTACGATACTATTATACGCTCTTATTCCAATGGTGACTTGGATTGAACTCCAAGTAAGAGTTATTCGGTATCCGACGGACAAGTTCGATCAACTATTCCATCGATATGGTCGACCAATTTAATCAAATGTACGATATAACTCTCTATGTATCCTTCCCAAAAATCCTCATACCAATTGGAATAGATGAACACTTACATAAAATCGCTCTTTCTTTTATATTTTCGATCTGAAAACTCGGATTGCACTGTAATGATATAGAACTCAATAATGAAAATAAAGAATAACCCAAGTATGTACATAGGAGGGTGGATCAGAGATTGAGCAGAGAGGGAGAAATGGTGAGCTGCCAGAATGTGATAATGTCAGCAGAATGAACGGTGAGGCTGAAGAAGACCCTCTCATAATATATTATGTCTGTTCCAAACACAACATGTTCTCTTGTAACAGAATGCTTGCCCCTATGGTCCCGTTTCTCTACTTATTATTATTGTTGTTACCTATTTTCCTCTGTTTTTTTTTTCTCTCCCTTCATTTCTTTATAAATAGCATTTCTCTTTTGTGGGTTTCAGGGGGCAGCCCCCTTTTTAGTTTTTACAGTCGTTCTCCTTTCACAGAATCGAGCTTTATGGGGATTCTGCAACAATCTTATGGCTCTCGCAAAAACTGCTTCAACATACGTAAGGTGAAAAAAAATGGTGGGCGCAAGTTAGATCGTACATACATATGGTTATTATATGGTCCCCCTAAAGTAGGATTCGCCACGTTCGTTTCTTACATGATTCATTTTGGACCACAACAGCTCCTCCCTCCCCACCTAGCTCTCTTACTAACTAGCTAGCTCCCCTGGATTTTATTTTCGGAGATGGGATCGATCATATTTTAGAGAATCAAAGCAGTCAAAATCGAGATTTTACCTAAAATCGAAAACTGGGGTAAAATCGGAATCGTAAAATCGAATCGTAAAATCGTAGGGTTTTAAGTACCATATAGAAATTAACATATAATAATATTAATAAGGTATATCATTAATAAGACGAAGACATATAACATTTAAAATGATAATTTGAAGATTAATATTTCAAAATCATCATTTTAATTGTTATTTAATGTGTAACTCAAAATAATTTATAGGAAAGGGAAAGCTCATGGGGTTTGCTCTTGTTTTCATGTTGTGTTTAGGTAGTTTAACTCAAAGTAGTATTCCGACATCATCTACTAAGCATGATTTAAAACTAAGAATAAGTGAACTCCAATAAAAAAATTAATGTCATTGGTTTGGTACAAATATATTCATTAATCAATTAATTTATTAATAACGATGTCAATTCTTGCGTATTTATAATATCATGGCAACGGCTTTACTGATGAGTTAAACAACGGAAAGGGAAAGGTGTTAACCGAACCCTAATTTGTTTTTTTTTTCCTTTTCAAAAGTTCTTTTAATAGGAAAAATATATGAGAAGATCCCAGTAATAGGTCTTTCCCCCCGAAATAGTTCTGCTTCTTTTGAATTGGCTCTGTTTTGTTCACATTGGATCAAAATCCTGATTTTGGTACGATTTTACGATTTTAACGATTTTAATCCCGATTTTGAACGATTTTAAGGTCCACCGATTTTATAGTAAAATCAGGATCGGAATCCCTGAGTAAAATCCTAAAACCCTACGATTTTATGATCAAAATCCCGATTTTGACTGCATTGTAGAGAACCAACCACGACTATTTAGGTGGAGTTATTGAGGGAGGTTCGAGTATCATAGTCTTACACATGTCGAGTCCCAACTCCCAAGTCATTTCAAAGTTAGAAGTGTTAGTAAGTGATATATGATCTATATAATTGAACTTACCTCTTCTAACATCTAGAATTTTAATTCAGAGTCTTTCATAACTAAGAGGTCTTATTTTGTTGACGGCCCCATTTTTGGGCTGTGCACACTTCAAGCATGAGTGGCTTGAGTTTGAGAGGGTGAGTGTATTAGTGTGTGGTATAAGATCCATTGTTAAACCTCCCACAACAACTCGAGTTATTGGGATCAACGGTTCTTTACATTGTATCAGGGCCTTCATTGGCCGAGAGGTGTCGTGTTCGAATCCGGACAATCCCCCATTTGTTAAGCACATGGTATTCATAATAGTAAGCTTTCGTTTGATGGGCGTGTTAGCGAATGATATAAGATCCATAATTCAACATCTCACAACAACTCGAGCTATTGGGATCAATTAGTGATTGACATGGTATCAGATCCTTTAGTGACCGAGAGTAGGGGTGTGCAACAGTTCGGTCTGATTTGGACCAAACCAAACTCATGAGAATCGTGATCCAATAGTGAAAGACTTCTTAGGACCAAGGACCGAACCAACATTGTATTTGATCCGCTCTAGATTGATCTGAATGTCACTTCTGTCCACTTTCCTCCAGTATTAATAAAATTCATGGGACCAAATATTGGACCACGTCATATTCTATTTGTTATGGTCTGGTGCAAGTGTCGGTTTGGTTTAGTGTGGTACGGTCTGGTACGGACTAATCTGTTGCACACCCCTAATCGAGAGTTCCTATGTTTGAATCCCGCGACCTCATTTGTTAAGCACATGGTCTTCGAACCTGTGCAAATTTCAAACCCATATTGTCGGCTTTCTTTTGAGGGATGTGTTAGTAAGTGGTATATGATCCATTATCAAACCTCTCCCTACATCTAAAGTTATATTGAGACCAGCTCATTCTTGACAATGTATCAGAGCATTTTTACGATCGAGATATCTTATGTTCAAATCCTGACGATCCCATTTTTCGAACCGTGCAAACTTCAAGTTCATATGAGTACGAAGCTTGAGTTTGAAGGGGTGTATTAGTACGTAGCATAAGTTTAATTATTGAACCCCTTTTGACGACTCGAGTTATTGTCATCAACCGATTCCTATCGAAAAACACTATCGTTCGATCCATCTTTAAATGTGGTGGGGGATGTGGAAGAGTTGGCGGTGTGTAGGTTGTGGTGGTTTTGAGTAGTTGGTATCAATTGCCATCTGCATGCAGAGGCCGGAGAGTGATGCTTAGCTATTAGCTACTATGCACATACATAAATATACAAATGTAACGTATCATTCTGAGCCCTTTTTTTGGGGTTTCTCAATTACTACGTACCACCAAAATCATCGATCTGGTCCCAATTGCATACAGTATATATATATGGACCACGTCAAAATCCCACTTTCAGCAGAGAGGGATTGAAATGGATTTTTGCTTAAGATAACCTTTTTTTCTTCTTCATTATCTCCCCCAAAAAATTTGGTCACAATTATAATCAGCTGCTTTTATAGGAGAGGTCTGATAATTAATGGCTAAATTGCAAGTTTGGTCACTCGAATTGCTACAAAATTTCACGTTTGGTCACTCGAATTTGTTTATTCCATTCGTAGTCACTTAAATTAGTTAAACAGTCCAAGTTCGGTCACTCTCCGTTAACCTCCGTCAGACTCCGTTAGTGCCGTCAGTTAACTGCTGACATGGCTAACAAAGATTCCTAATCACCCAATTTTAACCCAAGAAAAAACAAAAATTGACCCGCCACGTCAGAAAAACATGCCACCTCATATAAACACAACCCAACCCACCCAACCCAAAAAAAAAACCATTAACCCACCCAGAAATCAAACCGTGACCCATCCACCCTTCTTCTTCTTCCTTTATACACTGCTTCTGCCGCCGCCGGGGGGATTTCCCCTCGACCTCCCTGCTGCAGCCCCAGCCGCCGAATCCAGATTCGCGACCGATTCCTTGTCAGGGTGTTGAGGTCGAGCCCGACGTGGTTGTCGTCGATGTCCTGAAACTCGGGGCTGCGCATCGCGTCGAGCTCGACGGCGACGACGCGGTTGGATTCGCTGCCCATGTTGGTGGAATTGAAGAGACCCAGGTGCTGGCTGGCGACGGCGTGGGTGAAATCGATGGTGAGGGAGATGACGAAGGCGATGCCGTGACCGCCCGTCGATGGCGATTCTAGGACCATGGCGAAGAACCGGCTTTTTTGGTTCCTCCCTCTCACTTTCTTCTTGGCTAAATTGCAAGTTTGGTCACTCGAATTGCTACAAAATTTCACGTTTGGTCACTCGAATTTGTTTATTCCATTCGTAGTCACTTAAATTAGTTAAACAGTCCAAGTTCGGTCACTCTCCGTTAACCTCCGTCAGACTCCGTTAGTGCCGTCAGTTAACTGCTGACATGGCTAACAAAGATTCCTAATCACCCAATTTTAACCCAAGAAAAAACAAAAATTGACCCGCCACGTCAGAAAAACATGCCACCTCATATAAACACAACCCAACCCACCCAACCCAAAAAAAAACCATTAACCCACCCAGAAATCAAACCGTGACCCATCCACCCTTCTTCTTCTTCCTTTATACACTGCTTCTGCCGCCGCCGGGGGGATTTCCCCTCGACCTCCCTGCTGCAGCCCCAGCCGCCGAATCCAGATTCGCGACCGATTCCTTGTCAGGGTGTTGAGGTCGAGCCCGACGTGGTTGTCGTCGATGTCCTGAAACTCGGGGCTGCGCATCGCGTCGAGCTCGACGGCGACGACGCGGTTGGATTCGCTGCCCATGTTGGTGGAATTGAAGAGACCCAGGTGCTGGCTGGCGACGGCGTGGGTGAAATCGATGGTGGGGGAGATGACGAAGGCGATGCCGTGACCGCCCGTCGATGGCGATTCTAGGACCATGGCGAAGAACCGGCTTTTTTGGTTCCTCCCTCTCACTTTCTTCTTCCTCGCTTTCGATTTCTTTCAATTTTCCTTCTCCTTACTCTTCACCTTCCTCAACATGATAATAATGGCTCAACATGATAATAATGGCGAAACAAACTCTTGGAGTCCTGCTTCTTTCACCTGCCACGCTTGTCTAAATTTGTGGAGGAGCCACCGAAATTCTTGTTCGTGAACATGCGTTTGAATATGGAATCGATAGCAACCTTCGTCTTGCGCTGGGGAACCTTCTGGAACTGAGGGTCAGTGTGAGCCATGGCAAACCGTGGATCCAAAACCATCTCGCCGCCTGTTGCAGCTCTACCATCTCGTCACCAACAGCAGTCCAACAACCACACCACCGCCGCCGATTGTACGGATCTCGATAGGTAATTAGGGTTGGGGAATTTGGGGATCAGAGACTCCTTCAGCTTCTTGATTCTCTCTTTCGAGAAATCGAAGGTCGCTCACAGTCTCTTGGAATCGCCATCTACCAAGCTCCATAGCAGCTCCAAGCTTCTAGGGTTTGGATTGGAATCCATCCCCGACAGATTGAGCCGGAATCGGAACCAATCGTCCAAATACTCCACCGCAATTTCCCGCGAGTCGACGATGCCTGTTCGATCGAAGACCGGAGTCAGCGATTTCGGTAGCGGCGGTGGGAAATCGACGCCTCCGTCTCCGACGATCTGCCTGCAAGTGTGAGCCCAGGCTTTCATGAAGACGGACTGCCTCTTGCCATCGAGAATGCCGTGCTGAGGGTTTGGGTTTAGGGTCAATTAATTGGGTTGGTTTGCGGGTTGGACAAGAATGGCTGACAGGGCGGGTAAGGCTGAGCTGGCGGGTCGGGTGGTCGTTTTTTAATGTTTAAATGTGCTGATTGTGTCATTCTGTTAGCCACGTCATCACTTAACGGTCGTTATTAACGGAATCTAACGGAAGTTAACGGAGAGTGACCGAACTTGGACTGTTCAACTAATTCGAGTGACTATAAATGGAATAAATCAATTTGAGTGGCAAGCGTGAAATTTTTAAGCAATTCGGGTGACCAAACTTGCAATTAAGCCCTTTCTTCTTCCTCGCTTTCGATTTCTTTCAATTTTCCTTCTCCTTACTCTTCACCTTCCTCAACATGATAATAATGGCTCAACATGATAATAATGGCGAAACAAACTCTTGGAGTCCTGCTTCTTTCACCTGCCACGCTTGTCTAAATTTGTGGAGGAGCCACCTAAATTCTTGTTCGTGAACATGCGTTTGAATATGGAATCGATAGCAACCTTCGTCTTGCGCTGGGGAACCTTCTGGAACTGAGGGTCAGTGTGAGCCATGGCAAACCGTGGATCCAAAACCATCTCGCCGCCTGTTGCAGCTCTACCATCTCGTCACCAACAGCAGTCCAACAGCCACACCACCGCCGCCGATTGTACGGATCTCGATAGGTAATTAGGGTTGGGGAATTTGGGGATCAGAGACTCCTTCAGCTTCTTGATTCTCTCTTTCGAGAAATCGAAGGTCGCTCACAGTCTCTTGGAATCGCCATCTACCAAGCTCCATAGCAGCTCCAAGCTTCTAGGGTTTGGATTGGAATCCATCCCCGACAGATTGAGCCGGAATCGGAACCAATCGTCCAAATACTCCACCGCAATTTCCCGCGAGTCGACGATGCCTGTTCGATCGAAGACCGGAGTCAGCGATTTCAGTAGCGGCGGTGGGAAATCGACGCCTCCGTCTCCGACGATCTGCCTGCAAGTGTGAGCCCAGGCTTTCATGAAGACGGACTGCCTCTTGCCATCGAGAATGCCGTGCTGAGGGTTTGGGTTTAGGGTCAATTAATTGGGTTGGTTTGCGGGTTGGACAAGAATGGCTGACAGGGCGGGTAAGGCTGAGCTGGCGGGTCGGGTGGTCGTTTTTTAATGTTTAAATGTGCTGATTGTGTCATTCTGTTAGCCACGTCATCACTTAACGGTCGTTATTAACGGAATCTAACGGAGGTTAACGGAGAGTGACCGAACTTGGACTGTTCAACTAATTCGAGTGACTATAAATGGAATAAATCAATTTGAGTGGCAAGCGTGAAATTTTTAAGCAATTCGGGTGACCAAACTTGCAATTAAGCCGATAATTAATATTGGTGGTCGATTGGTCCCAACTTCATTAATATTAGGGCTAGCTATTAGTACTATATGGGTAGTCACTTTCTCTCTTCTTTTTCTTATTCCTTTAATTTACATGGGCACTCGATGAATGGAGATTCATGTGATGAGTTGGGAAGTCATAATGTGTTTGATCAACTGATCATGTTGAGCAAAGATATGGCTTGATGGAGTTTGAAGGTGTTGATCATCAAGAACAGAGAAATCTCTATCGGAGATCCGGCCATTGAACGCAAGGGATGAGCCGACACTCGATGCTCTAATGTCTTCAGATGGAAGCTCTCGATTCAGCCATTGAATATCATATGACGTAGTTGAGCGCCAACGCTGAAACAAATTGAGTTGGATTTTGCGTGCAAAGCAGGCAATTGAAGCGACCCCTACCCAAAAATCAGCCATCATCGCCCGAATGGCACTTCGACACCTCTTCTTTTCACCAATGATTCTATATATGAAGATTGAAGAGTAGGGCGATGAAGGAAATTAGGACGAGGACAATGGCGAAGATAATGATATTGAGAACTTAGATATTGATATTTATCCTAACGATTTGGCACGATATTTACTCTACACAAATCTTAAATTCTTGAGATCTTGCCATTTTATTCTACGATTTTGATTTTACTCAAAATTTTCTCAATTATACGTAAAGTTATCAATTTTGACTCTATTGAGCAATCTCTTTTTTTATGAATTTATTTTTATATACATGATGCATGGTTGGAATAAACAATCAGTTGTATCATCTGATATCAGCAGCTAGCTGTTGCCCTCAATTTTCATCGTGTGTGCTGATATGATAATGGAATCTCAAAGGTGGGTTGGTTAACTTATATAATCTATAATCTACACAATAAATAAAAGCCAAATGAGAAAACTTGAAGCTCCATTTCAAATTTTCTGCATCCAGAGTGAAAGTAGGAAGGACATTTTGGTCTTTACAATTACTTTTTTTTATTCATTAAAAAGACACTTACTAGGATTCGAACCATGACCACTTTAAAGAAAAGCAAAGATCATAACCCATCACACTAAGTACATTTGTTGTAGCTTTTTAAATTAAAAACATATAATCGCAGAGAGGAAAAAACCCTTCCCCCATTTCAAATTCTCTGCTCCAGGAACGTTTGTAAGAAGGGTAGAATATGGAGTGTCAATTTTTTTCTTTTTCCTCTGTGGAATGGGTCAACTTACCGTACACATGCGGATTTAGACGGGTCCAGGAGTTTCAATTTTTTTCTTTAAATCCTTTTATTTCTCCATGGTGGTAAAATATATATGAAAAGACAAAAACAATAATCCTTTTTATTGCTAAAAAGAAAAAAAAAATTAACAATAAACTAATGAATGGATTCTAATGGGCTAACCGCTAATCTTTAAATAAAAGAGTTGAATTGAATGGGCCTGACTTACATGAGATTTTCCCATCAAGTAAAACAAATGAACATCATGGGTTTGCCATTCTAAAACAAGCTATTTTCTCTAGCATAATATATATTATGCTATTATTTTATATCTTAGTGGCTAAAATATAATATATTTTAAAGTTATTCAATGGTTCAACCTCGACCAACCCAATTAGTCCAATTTTTATCATTTCAAATATATATTATTTAATTATTTGATATCATAATAATTAAATTATAGTGTATATTATAGGGGAATTGTTTGGTATATTTTAGTAAAAAACTAAATAGAAAGATTTATTTGGTTATTTTTAACATTAAAACGATCCTAAACATTTTCAGTTTCCTTTCGAAATTATATAATTTTTTTCCCGAATCAGTGATGTGCAAATGGCGAATTGCAGTCATCTCTTTTCTTTAATTATTTTTTATTTTCAAATAGAAAGTTTAAAAGTAAAGAATAATTAGAGTTTCGCATGGGTCGGTCAAACATGCTGAATTTCAAATTTTGACCTGTTTTGATCAAGTCTAATTTATAATCACATGGTTCCCTGATACTCGATAAAAATCTCAATCCAAATCAGTTTGGCAGGTGACTCCGTGTTTACCACCATTTTCTAGGGATACAGGAACGGTAGTTCCTATCCCAAATCGTGTTGTTCATTCTTGATTTCTTTAGATTTTATCATGGCTTGGCAAAAAACCAGAAAGCACAATGATGACAAGATGAAAGTTTTATAAAGCAAATTAATCGGCCAACGGGACGAGTAAAAGCTAGCAACGATTGTGAGATGCTCATTTCCCGAAAATCGCCGGGATAGGCATTTTTTATTTGATTTTCTGGAATTCGGTTTCTATAAAACTTACTCCACTTCATCATATTACCAGAAACAATATTGTTTCACAAGGTAACATGTACTTGATTTTGGTTCATTAGGCTGATTTTTGATTCGTTGCATCATTCATGTATCTTTCCTACTAAAATTCACTATTTTTATCACGTGTTTCCCAATAAAACTATACAACAATAAGCTATACACCCCATTACATTATCAAATTTCATACCTTACCTTCCTCCGGCCAAATGGTCGGGGCCCACGCTAGTTTATAAATAAATACCTCCTGTACCAGTAACACTGCTACACGTAAACTTATATTTTTAGATAAATAATAATATTAATGAACTGAAAATAGAATTCTATAGCTACCGGGATGCCACTTTTATTCCATTTTTCAAACAAGGAATTTCTTGCTCGTTGTGATTTGAGTTTCCAAAGCTTTTTAGTTTTTACCCCACTTCTCTGTCTCTCTCCCTCTCTTATTTTAGGTATCATAATTATGTGTCTTGAAACAATTAATCTTGTTATGTACAAACTATGATGGGTGGTTTAAGAGAAGTCATTTGGATGTGAAATTTGGATATAGATCTTACATATGATTTCTTTTATCTGATTTTTTTTTTCTATTTAGTTTACCTAGAAATAGCGTGGAAATTGTCATTCAGGTTTAGATCATCACTTTACTAATATTGCGAGAAAATACATTCGATACATAGGCAATCTATTTAAACGGGTTGTTTGGTTCACAAAATGTTACAATCCATTAAAGGACATATAATCGTGGAATTAAGATGAAATATATGACCAGTGCAATCTAACTTAAAAGATAAAATTTTAACTAATACCGGCATTGATTGAAAAATAATATCCATAACAATCTTGAAATTCAACGATGAATTGTACTTCACTTAAGGAAAAAATGATTTTCTTGCCACGGAATATGATTCAACTTTTTTACAAGTTAAAACGACCTACAAAACAATGAAATAATATTACACAATCAATTTACCCATGATTAAAATTTACACCGATTTTCATGATCATGATCTATCGTCTGAACAACCTATAACAAAAATTATTATGCAAATAATCATACCACTATATAAGTATATATACACACATATTAAAAATTACTAATTAATAAACTAGTACATGAGACTCAAGTATCAAATTCTTCCTCTTATAAATTACTTTATCATCATCATTTCTTCCAATAGAAGATAATTTATTAATTTTTCTCCTTAAAACCATCAATCGACCAACCTGCAACTATCCCAAGTATCATAAATTCCATGGCTCTCAAACTAATTAATTAATTAAATCAGAGTATTAATTATCATTATATCTTGTTTTGTTTCGAAAAAAACCCTCTAAGTTCCCGCCACCTAAAGAATCACCAGCAGGCAACAGCCGCTACGAGATTCTTTTTCACCCCCGCCTCCAGTTGTAAGAGAATATATCTGTTTAAAAAAGGATATTAGAAAAATAATAAACAAGTAATTAACTGAACAAGTATCCATAATAACTCATTGATTACTGGGAAAAAGGGCCCTCAAATCTGAAAAATAGATGTTATGAAACTATGAAAATATAAGCAACTACAAGAGATGATTAGAGAGGGAAAGACACAAGAGAAGAGAGGGAAGAGTTCTTCTTATTCATTCTTCACTTTTGATACAATGGTGTGCTATATTTATAGACACACTTTGGTAACCACTACATCCTTATATCAATGCATATGAATGAGAGATAATGATGTAGAAATATGAGTTACATGTAACTCCCAAGTGAGCATCTAATGTGGTAGGCCATTGGTCATCCATATATCAATATTTACATAATACTCCCCCTTGGATGACCACTAGACTGCATTACGCTATCTCATACTGCCTCGTTAAAAACCTTACCAGGAAAACCCAGTGGGAAAAAACCATGGTGAAGGAAAAAAGAGTGCAGTGCGTATATGCTCCCCCTCATGACCACATCACTTCAAATCTTTGAGTCTTTGAACTCAAATTTCACGAGCAACTTTTAGAAATATTGTTGTCGGGAGTGAGTTAGTGAACAATCTACTAGATTGTCAATTTGATCCATGATCTTAAGATTTTCTTCATACATGATCGTCAAGATCATTTCCTTTGAAAATAGTTCACAACCACAAGTCCTTTAGGTATGGTGAATCACAAAGTGTAACGGAATATATTCAGGACTTGCCTACTATAGTTTGTTTGTTTCTCTATGAAACACTTATATCACCATATGTAAGAGATATAGCTCATCTCCGATCAACCAATATGAGGATCAAATGGTACATATAATTTGGATATATAATTCACCAAATCAC